AATTCCCAAATGAAGGGCCCTTTAAGGAAAAAATGTATAAGTTTGCTTGATTTTTTAATTGGTAGGACTTCATATTAAGACACAACCTTCTTTGGTCAGGACCTTTATGTATATTTAACTCAAATTGGCTCATTGATGACAATTGACGTCCCATATTATTGGGTTTTTTTTACTGGGGATTTTTGCTATAATAACAGTAGAACTTTGTAATAAATAAATGGATTAATTTCATACTTGGACAATACAATTATTCTGACAAGACCTTGTAAAAGGTGGAACTGACCTTGAGCTTTAAATGACCTTGACCGTCATTGCCAAATTATTTAACTTTTGTTTAAGTTGTCATAATTTTGTAATAGATTTTTTTCCATTATCAAATAAAACTAAAACGACACTTGTGATAGGTTGAATAATTTAGATATGAACTTGACCTTTAAATGACATTGACTGTCATGTCACATGATTGAATTTTGTTGATATTTTCTAACTTTGTCATTTATTTTATGGAATGATTCAAACCCTGGAAAACAACAAGTGCTGAGCAATTAAAATAACGAAAAAAATGAAACCATATTTTTTTCTTTAATTTTTCTTTTTAAAGATTTTTTAAACTGTTTATATGTTTGCTTTTAGAAAAAAAGTTCAAAGCTCTGTGTTTTACTTAAACTGGAACGATGTTCAGATTGTTTTGCATAATTGCTAAAAGGGATGATTTATCATATTTATCTTATTTAATTCAAGTTCAAGAACTATCTTGTTCTATAAAAAAACTGACAATATCTCTTTCAAACTCCAAAGTCTTAAGTTATCATTAATTTATATTAAGCATGTTGGGTAGAAACAAGAACAAAATTTTATTCACTGGAATTTCAAGCTGTGTCCTAATTTTATTTTTCATATACGGAAAAATTTTAATTATAAGCTGTCTAGATATACCGACAATGCTCCATGCATTGATTTTCCCATCATTTTTCAAATACGTCCTTGGGAAGTAACTGCTTATTATTCGGCATTAAGGAGTATAACCTATCTGACGAATTTGCTTTACCGGAATGAAATATTTGTCATTAACAAATATATAACGCTTGCATTATTTACATCATGTTTATCAACAGTTGGTGTGACACATGTCATTATTGTCTGAATAATCTTGAAAGTGCAAAGAACGATGGTCGAAACAAAAACATTATTAGATACGAACGAACATGTATTGAGAGTTTTAAATACAAGATCAAAATTAAACAATATTTTAGCTCAAAATAAAACAAACTGCAACAAACTTTAAATTGTAATTACATAATGATTTAAACTTTTTAAGGTTAAAACATTTGATATGGAGGTGCCAGGACGTAAGGAGAGCAGTGATGATAAGGTCAAGCGAAAATGCCAACCCTGCCAAGAGGAAAATGTTCTTCATGAAGCTTACGGATATTGCATAACATGTGGAAAATACTTGTGTGATGCTTGCTTCAAATATCATCGTCGACCAAAACCTTTCAAAGATCACGTTCTTGTTGAATACAAGACCATTTTGTCAAAAGAAAGAGCCCCCACGCCTCCAGACCCAGATAAACATAAGGTTTCAGATGACCAGGATCTGCAGCAAGGTGAAAATAATGATAAATGCAAGACAAAGAAATCTCCCCCACCAGTTCCAAGCAGAAGGAGGATATTCAATACAAAATGTTCTGTTCACCCTTTCAGAAGATCTTAAATATCAATGCAAAAGTCATGAAATAATTGTATGTAGCGAATGCGCTTTAAAACAGCATAGACAATGTGATGAGCTGTACAACATTCATGATATTTATGATTCTGAAAGTAAACGCATTGTTTCAAAAATCAAATATGTAGAAGATAAAGCAGCGTATATACTAAAGCAAGAAACAAATGCCAACGAAGATTCTGACGTATCCTATGAGGAGGTTTTGTCACAAATCCGTTTAGATAGAGAGCAAGTTAACAAATATTTTGACGAAACCGAAAAACGCTTAAACAATGAGGTTTATAGATTTCGAGAGGGAAGCAAGATAAGGCAAACGGAGATGCTCGATATATGTCAGAAACTTAAAAAGGTATGATAAATATGTAATTATATATATAATCTTTCAATTTTTGTTGTTTTCAGGTTTAAACCTAGATGTTACATGACAAACAATCTCCAATGAGCCAATGAGCGTGATACGGTCCCGATATTACTTAAATATGACTTGGGTAGTTAGTTTTGCTACGAGATCAGTGGTTGTTATGTATTCAACCAATGAATTAATAAAATGCTGACTGTGTATACATTTGTCGCACTTCATCCAAACAGGCAATTTATTCTTTAAACTTTCCGTGAATTGGTTTCATATTTATTGACTTTTGTATGGACATATTTTTGACAGATATCAAACTTTTTTTTCTATTAATAAAGGATTTATTTTCATTGAGTGGTATGAAAAATAAATTCATATGTTGCGGTATTCAATGGTAAAATATGATAAGTTTCAAACCACATTATGAAAATAAATCATGTATGTATAGAAAAACTTGAATTTTCTGTATATTATATACATTTTTTGAAAGACTTTCCTAAATTTTTTTGCTTTGGCTGAATTTAGATGAAAGTAGTCCGGCAAGATATCCGTAAAAATACGGAAAATATGTGCAGTGGACTGTGTTAAAAAAAAATTAATGTAAAAATATGGAAATTGAATCATCAATATTTCTAAATAAGTAAGTATGTAATGAATTTGTCTATTTTTATTATGATTTTGAGTACTTACATAATATTTTTACGGTTTCAGAAAAAAGACTTAATACGTGATACCAATTTATCAGAAATTGAGAGATACATATCAATGACCGAAGGAGAGGGCGAAGTAGACAACATAAAGAGAGATCTCAAGGGAGTTTTCGGTCTGAGTTTACGTGTTTCTTATAAATCACAGTACCAAATGCTTGATTCGGAAAACTTTGTTGTCGAGAAACATCAAAGACGTAAACTTAAGCTTCAAAAAAAGGTAAATATAGCAGGTGGAAAGCAGTCGTGCTCTATAACTGATATAGCAACACCCTCAAATGAAACATTTCCCGTGATACTTGTAGATAATATAAACAAAAGACTGATTATTATTTCCGTTGAATATTCACTGATGTATCACCAGCTTGAATGGTTACCTTGGGGAATCACATTTATCAGCTATGATAGGCCAAATGGTGAAATAGCAATTTCTTGTCCATATGATGACAGGATATTATTTTTTACTATCGATGAAATTATTACTGTTAGTAAGCGTACATATATAAAAGTGGACAGTCCCGGAGGAATCAGATATCATAAGTCTGAAAATGTGATGATAGTTGCCACAGATTATGAAAATGCTAGCATTCAGTGTTGGTCGCTTAATGGTCATTTTGTGAGAACCATTGCTTCTTTCGGTTTGCGCATTGACAGAATAAACCTTACAAATGATGATCAAATCATTTTTGCTTCTCCTTCAAAGCACTGCATACAGTCGTGTGATATGTCTGGCAATATCTTAAGAGATTTTCCATATATAGATGACAAAATGCGTGGACCATTTGGTATTACCGCTGACCAATTTCAGTCAATCTATGTATGCGGATTTAACTGTTTAAGTGTGGTTTCAATTGAAGGGGAATGGAATGAACTTCTGACAAGTGATGGCGGATTTGCACCACAGTCACTCCTTGTCAGTAATAGGTCAGACAGACTTTACGTTGGACAAACAAGAAAACAATCGAGTGCTGATTTTGATTTTCTTATTTTTGAATTATGAAAACCATATGACAAACTAAGACATTGCAAAACTTATCAAAATGTAACGGTGGCTAGCTTTTGCTTTCTAATTATAAACCTGCTGACATTTCAATATTAAAGGAGCAATAAGCAAGTGATTTTTTTACGTAAGGAATGCAGAGATGTTAAGGCTATGATGATATATTTATAACATTTCGTGTTATTAGCAAATACTTGCTTAATGTAAAATATTGTAAATAAATAAAAGTATTCAGGACTTTTAATTTAAAGAAATTTTAACTATAAGAATTTTGTTGGTATGAGTCAATGGGATAACATGTTGTTTCATGTTAAATTTTACATTTCTAGAATTAATAGGACTAACCTTTACCTGTTAGCTCCACTTGTTAATGATGCAAAATTGCCAATTCAATTATTTGTAAGTGAATTAAATTTACAGTAGGTAAACGGTTCAGCATGAAATGAAAGGGATATAGACATAGACATTTATGTTTTTATGTTATGATTGATTAATGGGAAAGAAAAACTGGTTAGCAAATGCATGATTATGGTTTTGCATATGTGTGAGATTCGTCTGAAACCGATTGAGAAAAGACTTTTATATTATGTTTAAAACAACGGACCATCGACAGTCATGTTCAAGGGGGCATGTGAATAAGGAAAACAGTCTATAAGAAGTATCTTATCATGTTAAAAGTGATTTTAAGTATGCAAAGTAATTGGATGGTATGCCTTGTAATTTAAGATTTTATTTTAGGTTGTCTTCACAACCTTCGAAAATTTAAACAGGTCGAAACGGTACGAAGAGAATCGTGTGAAATCAACGTCATTGTATATATACTTAGATAAGCACGACATTAAATAGAGGATATTGAATGAGTGTAGGTTTAATACTAAATTTATTGAACGAGTTGAATAAAATCATATTATGCGAGCCTCTGGTGAGCATAATATTGTTTTATTCAACGAGTTCAATAAATTAAGTATTGAATCTACACGAATATAATGTTCTATTTATCACATATATAAAATAAGAACGGTAAACTGTTAACAAGAGTCATTTTTTTTGACACGCCGATAGTGTAACGCTAACATTAGCGCGCTTTAACGCTATGTTTATAGCGCAAATTACGTGACGTCAAAGTGTTATTACACTAGTGTAATATTGACTAGTGTAATATCGTTTATATTAAATGGCTTCATTACACCTTTGCACCGCGGTTTATGTGATAAAGACGAATATCATTTAATTTTGATTTGCCCATGTTATATTGATTTATGAAAATTGTACATAAAATGTATTATTGTGTTAAACCATGCATGTCTAAATTTATAGAACTTTTAAAAATGATAAAATAAGAATTTCACTAATTTAGCTATTAAATTTGTAATGTCTTAAAGATCAATCGAGGTGTTAAAATATTTTTTTGTTACTTCACTGAAAAATAGAAAATTGCATTCAAATACAATACTGTCACGGCCGTAGGCATTTAACTAACAGTTCTAACAATGTGATTGATAATATGTCAGGAATGAACTTCTGACAAGTGATGGCGGATTTGCACCACAGTCACTCCTTGTCAGTAATAGGTCAGACAGACTTTACGTTGGACAAACAAGAAAACAATCGAGTGCTGATTTTGATTTTCTTATTTTTGAATTATGAAAACAATATGACAAACTAAGACATTGAAAAACCTTTCAAAATGTAACAGCTTTCGCTTTCTAATTATAAACCTGCTGACATTTCAATATTAAAGGAGCCATAAGCAAGTGATTATTTTATTCTTTACGTAAGGAATGCAGAGATGTTAAGGCTATGATGATATATTTATAACATTTCGTGTTATTAGCAAATACTTGTTTAATGTAAAATATTGTAAATAAATAAAAGTATTCAGGACTTTTAATTTAAAGAAATTTTAACTATAAGAATTTTGTTGGTATGAGTCAATGGGATAACATGTTGTTTCATGTTAAATTTTACATTTCTAGAATTAATATGACTAACCTTTACCTGTTATCTCACTTGTTAATGATGCAAAATTGCCAATTCAATTATTTGTACGTGAATTAAATTTACAGTAGGTAAACGGTTAAGTATTTAATGAAAGGGATATAGACATAGACATTTATGTTTTTATGTTATGATTGATTAATGGGAAAGAAAAACTGGTTAGCAAATGCATGATTATGGTTTTGCATATGTGTGAGATTCGTCTGAAACCGATTGAGAAAAGACTTTTATATTATGTTTAAAACAACGGACCATCGACAGTCATGTTCAAGGGGGCATGTGAATAAGGAAAACAGTCTATAAGAAGTATCTTATCATGTTAAAAGTGATTTTAAGTATGCAAAGTAATTGGATGGTATGCCTTGTAATTTAAGATTTTATTTTAGGTTGTCTTCACAACCTTCGAAAATTTAAACAGGTCGAAACGGTACGAAGAGAATCGTGTGAAATCAACGTCATTGTATATATACTTTGATAAGCACGACATATATTAAATAGAGGATATTGAATGAGTGTAGGTTTAATACTAAATTTATTGAACGAGTTGAATAAAATCATATTATGCGAGCCTCTGGTGAGCATAATATTGTTTTATTCAACGAGTTCAATAAATTTAGTATTGAATCTACACGAATATAATGTTCTATTTATCACATATATAAAATAAGAACGGTAAACTGTTAACAAGAGTCATTTTTCTTTGACGCGCCGATAGTGTAACGCTAACATTAGTGCGCTTTAACTCTATGTTTATAGCGCAAATTACGTGACGTCAAAGTGTTATTACACTAGTGTAATATTGACTAGTGTAATATCGTTTTTATTAAATGGCTTTATTACACTCCTGCGCCGCGGTTTATGTGATAAAGACGAATATCATTTAATTTTGATTTGCCCATGTTATATTGATTTATGGAAATTGTACATAAAATGTATTATTGTGTTAAACCATGCATGTCTAAATTTATAGAACTTTTAAAAATGATAAAATAAGAATTTCACTAATTTAGCTATTAAATTTGTAATGTCTTAAAGATCAATCGAGGTGTTAAAATATTTTTTGTTACTTCACTGAAAAATAGAAAATTGCATTCAAATACAATACTATCACGGCCGTAGGCATTTAACTAACAGTTCTAACAATGTGATTGATAATATGTGAAGGACTTGTTAAAAGAAAATGGATTTGACGGAGTCAAAATGTTTCCACACTCTGTTAAAATTGATACCCGTATGACAAAAACATTTAGACTCGTTTATAGCGTACTAGAGAAGAAATATTGAATCTCTCTGTTTTTACAAGGAATTGAAAAATAAATTTGAAATTTCAAGATTTTCGATTATTTTTAATAATTTAAAGTACAGATGCGCTGTTAAGAAGTAATGCGTTTAATTGACTTAAAAATTAGAGGAAAATAGATAACTAGTCTATCAATTTCCGAGAAATAAAAGGAAATGTATACATGTCTATATTTATATGTGTGTGTGTGTGTGTGCGTATTGTGACGTCATTGACATTGAAGACAAATTCCAGTTATCCGTACAATTTTCATATTCTAGTTTTTTTTTCCATTTCCATTTATTCTGATTTATTTATGTTCTAACATTTGTTTATCTCATTTCATGATGAATATGTATATCTAGTAAGTTGTCATGTATGAATAACGTTTATAATTGATATATAATGATCTGTTTATGTCTGTTAGAAAATAAATTCCATGTTATGTTATGTTATGTAATGTATTGGTTTGGTTTGGTTTGTTATCAAATTATTATTTTGTATATTTCGTAAGAGAGGATATGACTGGATGAGAGTTAATCATTTTTTTTATCCAAATAGAAGATACATTTTTACCCAGGACTACATGTATATCGGTTGATTTAAATTCTTGTTCTTCAATTATTTTCATAGTTGAGTTTTGAACCAAATATAATTAACATTTTCAATCAATTAGATGATCATTTGAAAGTGGTTTATGTTTTGTTTAATGTTTATTATTGTTTTACAAAACCTTGTCACGAATTTGCTTTAACTAGTCTTGCGATATGAAATGCTGAATTCAAATTGTAGTTTGTGCTGTATGTACTTACTACTGTGTTATTTACTTTCTAAGTTTTTATTTCATCAATACAAGTTGGAAACTGGTTTAAAGTCATTTGTATCATTACATCATATATGTATGCAAACTTAAAACGACAAAAATTTGTTTTGAAAGTAAATATAAAATATATTAGTCACTGCTATTTCTTATTTTTTTCAAACGCAATTGTTTGTAAGAACGCTTTGGTATATGTAACATTTTCTACAAACATGTTAACTTGTTATACTATACTGATGTATCTGATTTATGAATAGCATACCCCTTAGACATGTACTGAACAAGCATAGTACATAATCTTGATAGTAATTCATAATATAACCATTCAAAATTTACAACTCATAGGAACGAATATTACTTTGATATCGTTTCATAGTATCGTTTTTAACCGGACTAACCACTTCTTTGATATTGCGAACATCATTTGTAGTAGTTTTTGTAATTGCCTTTGAAACTGTCGCAATTACTGTCCTGGAAACATTCAGCTTTATCTCATAAAGAACTTAAGGCTTTTACTTCCACTCATCATGACTACGCTATTTTTTTTTAAGATTGTTATGTACGAGAACTAACAAATTAGGGCAGATGTCACATATTTATAAACGGTTTTAAAATATATGTTAAGACCGATAATCACCATACCAAAAGTTTATAAAGGGTTGTTTGCTTTTCACTTGCCAAAGATCTTAATATCTAGATGTATTACTCATTACTGGTGGACTAAGATACCAGTGCCTTTTCGTACATTTTTTTCAAGGGCGAGCCTGTACCTGAGTATAACCACCGAACGAGCATTTCTTTTTTTAAATTAGGGATTAAAGTCTCTGCCGAGATTCGGACCCTAATTAATAAAAGACGAAACATATTATCAGTATATCTGTATTTTTAACCGGAAGTAATGTAACATCAACAAATTTTGAAATATTGTCTTTTTTATCGGTATTTTTTTTACAAATTTATTAAATACATTGTAAACGCAGAAATAATACGTATCAAAGCGGGAATGATGACACCGCAGAAATAAGATACACAAAAAAAACCGCTTATTTTAACGAAATTTGCAGAATATTAAGCCCGCAGAAATAAGTACTTATACGTTTTATGTACAAGTCTATCATAAATTGTTTGTTCAGATCATATATTTTTTCAGTCGTATTGAAATGACATTATACATGCATAAATTTATATATAGTTATACATGTAAGTATTTTGAGCATCGATTTGCATTAACATTTGATGCTTACTGACTTAATGACTGATAAAAATTTTGGATCAGAATTTGAGAGATACATCTCGATGACGCAAAGAGGAGAGAAGCAGAAATTTACTGAAACATTTTGTCACCAGCGTTCACTTGTTTGTTACAAACCACGCCATCATTGTATCATTTATGATGATTGATACAAGATAAACACTTAGATGAAATTGGTTTACGTAAGTTTGAATTTCTAATTTCACCATTTTAATGTTAATTATAGAATGTTGATTAAGCCGTTCATTGCAAGTCACAAGGGGGCGTGGACGCTAGCTTGCGGCTTGCAATTACCACTCCCGTCCATGAACAGACTAAATCGTACTGGGCTTATACTATTTACATACGACAAGAGGTTAACAACCGTGCTACATAACTGATTTTTCAATGGTCAAACATATAAAACATTTCCAATGATACTTTCAGGTACATTTAATGATTCTAAATTTTCCGGTAAATATTTTATGATATTTCATCAGCTTGAATGACAGCATTAGGGAATCAAATTGATAAGCAACGATATGTAAGAGATGGCATAGTTTCGTTTGTTTGATTATTTTAATGCACGTTATGGCTTAGAAACGAATAAAAGTTTACACCTTTAGGAAGGGCAAACATGAATTTTATAGCGCTTGAATAATTGTTTTAGA